TATTTAGTGGGCAACTTGTATTATGAGTATGGAGCTTGGGTGAATAATCAGGGCTAGAAGCATAAATTTGGGAGTCATAGTCACACGCCTATTAATGCAATGAGGCTAGAATAAAACTCATGAGTAGTGAAGGTAGATGGAGAACTGAAGAGGGCTGGGAATACGTTTTAGGGAACTCTAACAGAGGTTGAGGAATGGAAGCATCACCAAAGGAGACTAGGAAGGAATGTCAAGTTAGAATGGAAGAAAATTAGGAGAATGTGGTGCTCTAAAATCCAGTGAAACAAAGCGTTAATGCTGGAAATTATGGAAGCTCATTTTCCAAAGTTTCACTTATTAATAACTTAAAACTTGATATTCTAAGAAGAGCTTTATCAAATGGAAAAGAGGATAATTTTCTATTATGAGTCAGTTGCAGTGGCATGGGGAATGCAAAATTGTGAAAAGAAAATCAAGAATTTAGGTAAAACACTCTTAAACAAAAATGTCCATTTAAGAAATAAGTACACAGGAGCTGGCTGGTTAGCTCAGTTGCTTAGAGCGCAGTCTTCTAACACCAAGGTTAAGGGTTTGGATCCCCATACTGGCAAGCTGCCCCCCAACCCATGAAAAAGAAATAAGTACATAAGTACACAATGTTTAGACATAATATTTGTTATTGTGTCAACTACAGCTACAGCATCATGTAAGTGAAGATGAATGATTACAGTTTAATATCAAATTCAGGTGAAAAGGGGAAAATACTTGCTTCTTTACAGATTTTTAAAAATAGATTTCAAAACTTTTATAGGCTTGAAACTCATCATATTTCAAACAGAATTTTATAAATGATCATAATATTAGAATCAGAAAAGCTTACACATAAAATTACTTACTTGAATTCATATAGTGTATTCTTATGGATACAGACTAGAACTCAGGTCTTCTGGTCACTGAGTATTATTTCTTATTGTAACACACTATCTTAAACATCTTTCGGTCACCCATATTAGCAAGTTGGTGAATATAAGCTCAAGATACAAAAAACAAACAAACAAAACAACAACAAAAAGTATTGCATTTCTATAAACCATTATCAAAGAGAGACCTTAAAATTCATTTAAAATAGAAAAAAATGTTACCTAGGAATAAATCTAAGACATGTAAGACATTTATAAAGAAAACTATAAACCTGTATGGAAAGATGTTAAGAAAGTCCAAAATAAAAGGAGAGATACACCTTGTTTTTAGATAGAAAGGCTCATCATAATGATGTAAATTCCCCCCCAACTTAATTTACACATTCAGTATAATTCTAATCAAAATACTTAACTGAGGTTGTGTGGAACTATTAATGTTGAATTTATATGAATGGTCAAATGTCCAAGAATAGCTTAGACCCTCCTAAAGGTTGTTAATGTAGAAGGATTTGCTCATCAGATATAAAGTTATTATAAAGCTATATTAATTAAGATGCTCTGGTCTTGTTTCAGGGTGTCAAATAGATTGACCATAACATATTTGGAAACCTGGTAAATCATAGAGAAGTCATTGCAGATTAGAGAACGGACTACTTAATAAATGACCCTGAAAAACTTATGAAAGAAAAGAAATTGGGTCACACACACGAATCATTTCTGGATGGATTGATAGCTTGAATAGAAAACAAATGAAAATCCACTAGAACTTGTAGGAGAAAATTTACAATGACATCTGTATAACATAGAACTAGAAAAGGGTATTTTTAGTAAGACAAAAAGGCATTAACCCAAAAGATAAATTTGATTTCATTAAAATTAGGGCCTGCTATTTATTACAAGACACCGTTAAAAAAGTAAGACAAGCATAACCAGGGAGAAGTTATTTGTATCATATGTAGTTGATAAAGGATTGTTAATTTGATAGTATTGAAAGAACAACAAGAAATAAATAAGAAAAAGATAAAAAGAAAAACAGAAGATATTCCCCGTAATTTCACAGATTAGGAAACAGAGAATATTAAACAAATGAAAAGATCTTCAACCTACTGGTAATTAGAGAAATGCAAATTAAAACTGGTATGAACTGAATTATGTTCCCCCCAAATTCATGTGTTGAAGTCCCAGCCCCTTATGTGACTATATTTGGGGACAGTCTTTTTAAAGTGGTAATTAAAGTGAAATGAGGTCATGAGTCTGGGGCCCTAATCCAATATGACTGGTGTCCTTAGAAGAACAGACACCAAGGATGCACACAGAGAAAAGGTCCTGCAGGGACATAGCAAGAACGCAGCCGTCTGCATATTAAGGAGAGAAGCCTCAGGAAAAACTAAACCTGCCAAAGCCTTCCAAGACTTCTAGTTTCCAGAACTGTGTGAAAATAAATATGCTGCTTAAGCCATAGAGCTTGTGGTATTTTGTTATGGCAGCCCTAGCAAACTAACACAAAGATCAATTGAGATTTTATAGCAACTGGATTGGCCAATCTTACTGGTGAGGCTGTGGAGCAACAGCACTGCAACTTGATTCAATGACTTTGGAAAACATTTTGATATTACCTTCTAAAATTGAATATTTGAATTCTCAAATGCCCAGCAATTCTACTCTTAGGTACATACGTTAAGATAAATCCTGCACATGCGCACCAGGAGACATTAAAATTAATGTTTATGAAGTACTTCATAATAGGTCCAAAACAGCACAAAATTGTATTTACACAATACAATATGATACAGTGATGAAAAAAATAAACACTAGTTAAAACAAAATGGATGAGCCTCAGAGACATAATATTGAGCAAAAAAAAAGCAAGCACAGAATACATAAAGTACGATACCAATTTTATAAAACTCAAAAATAAGCAAATCACATATATAGTTAAAAAATACACAAAAATTAAGTCAATGTTGAATATAAAACCAAGAGCAGAGTTACCTCTTTTGTGACAGCAGAAAGGTAGGACCAGGGTAGAGCACAAAGGAAGATTCAGCAGTGTTTATTCTAGCTCTTAGTTTTGTGGTGTGTTTGCAAGAGTTTATTTTATTATTATGCTTCATAAGTTACATAGATTTGCATGTATTATTTTGTATGTATCAAATACTATATGATAATATTAAAAAAATAAAAATCCTGCAGATACCAAAGATATCTCTTAGACATTAATTATAGAAATGGGGATCCACTTTGAAAAAACATATATCATAAATCTTTTGTACTATGAGACCATTTAGCTATAAGATTCTTCCTTTTTCATATGAGGACTTTGTGCTCCATAATGGGACCTCCTGCTTCAGGACAATTTTTCATCTTTATTTAAGTTATAGTAGTCTTTTGGCTGTCTAGAATTCAATTTTAAAAACAACTGATTACTATGCCTCCTGTTCCCAAAAGAATACAAGAAAAGGATAGGACATGGGAAACAATCTTGTAGATTATTGTAATTACATACAAAGACAAAATAGTACATAGATAATGCCCCTTCTAGCAACCCAGAATTATTAATAAGTTAGTAAATTAGTAAATACATCTGAACATCACACATTGAAAAAATAATAAAAATTCAAATATGAGTAGATTTTCTCTTATTCCGAAATGAGATCCAGGGATTTATTTTAGATCCTTACTTCATCTTCATATCTGGGTGTGTGTGTGTGTGTGTGTGTGCATTTTAGTCTGCAGTAAATTTTACATTTCTTTCTTTAATGAAATGGCTTTGTTCTCCCTTGAGAATGCAGAAGAGAGCACGAGCAGATTACAGAGAAATAGCTGCTACAGTGCTATGGCTGTACTACCTTTGAAAAAGTATAAATAACAATTTTAGCAGCTAGTGATTCTGAAATTGCTCTTAACTGTGTCACTATAAAAATGTTCTAAAAAACATATTTTGCAAATAACATAGCTTAGAAGCTTATCAGAAAAATTTTCTACTCATATTCAAGTCATTTTATAGTAAATCTAATGTAGGCACTATAACTAAATGTAAAGGATAACATTTAAGTTATTAAGAATCAGTCTCAAAACTAAATAAACTGTCAGCTACATCAGTAGTTTGAGATCCAGGCTTTTATGTCATGGATAGTGATGCTACAGACCTTAGCAAATATGGGGTCTATGTTGGTCTTATAATTATTGTTAGAATCATGGGGACTCATTCATTCATTCAACAAATTTTACTCCTTACATTCCATGTGCCAGTTATAGGGCTGGGTCCTGAAACTACAGAAGTCAACACACAAAGCAATACAAGGACAAACACCCTTTTTATATTAACTTTTTTTCATCCATTCATCTATCCTTTGTTTAACGCATGTCTCCATTTGATTACTGACTAGGGGTCAAGTGCTGTGCTAAACACTGACTACATAACTGCAAATGAGAAGACTAGCCCTGGATTTTGATATCTCTACTATTGTCTTGCCGTAAAATGGGACATTTCTTTGGCCCATGTTTTGATCTCAAATTGCAAGTAAAAAGGGAGTTGTCAGTGAGATTCTGACATACATAGTTAAATGAAAACAAAACTGCTCTTTCACATGCTGCACTCTGCCCCCTTCTAACTTCCTCTGTGCACTCACTTTGGTCACGCCAGGATCAAGCCTAGGTGTGCCCCAAGAAGAACCAAGCCAGGTGCCTCCCACCGTTACTACTAAGTTGACTATTTCTCACTTAGAAGATTCTATGCCATCATGACTCTTAATTTTGATACGGAGGGTCATGGACACAACTTATGAAAATGACTTGTCTTAGGAGAAGATATTGAAAGAGTTAATCTGCTGCTCTCCATGCCTAACCTACTGAGATTAAACCACAGGCTCTGACTTAGTAACAATGAGCTAAAAATGGAAAAGAAAAGCATCAGGCTGTTATTGTATTTCTTTCCCTCCAAGGTATTCTCTGATAAACACCACAACCTCCAAGGGAATTGTGAACAGTATTTTTATAGGGTAGGTTAGATATCCATCTTTTTTCAAACAGTCATATCATATCCAGCTATCAGCACACTTAATTTAAGGTGATTGAATGTGTGAAATTTAATGTTCCTACCTGATTGGAAACCTTCTTATCCTTAATTCATTGACTATACTGGATTTCTTTTTTTCTTTCAAATTACCTTCAGACTTCTACCAGAAACTGCTTCTTGGGGGAACCAAGCCTTCCCAGTGTCAGGAAACTGAAATAGAGAGAGCAAGGGAAAAGGAAATTATCTGTACATATAGATTTTACTTTTTTAAAGTTTTAAGTAAATGTTCAAGCATACAACAGTATAGTGACTTAAGAGACATACACAATTAATAAGTTTGAATAACCACAAAGTGAACATACTATGACAAAAGTACAAGTTGCATTTTGGGCCACTGAGCCAAGCAAAGACTTCACAAAATGTCCTGTTATTCCTTGTTCATTAAGACATTTGCCCTCATTAAGTGAGGGCAAAAAGGCAAATTTTCTAAGTGGTTTTTTTTTGTTTGTTTTTTGTTTTTAATTCACTTCTGTTTTTCAGTCTTTACCAAGACTTCCCTTCTTTAGTCTTCACTTAGATCTTCAGGAAATTAATTTGACTAAACTTGTTTATTCATTAAATAAATATAGAAACTTATTGACGGATATTTCAGAGAGGCCTTTAATGTCTTTTCAAGCTTTGTCACGCACAAAAGTGTTTGTGTGTGTGTTGTGTGTCTGTAGCTCTTTTTGTGAAGGGATAGTGGGAAGAGGATAAATCTGTTGACTGCTAGTCAGTGGTTTAGAAAGATGGATATTAGAGTAAAGAGAAGCAAATGAAGTGCTAAAGTCCCAAGGCTGTAATTTAAAACTAATAATAGCATTTTCTGAGTGACTAAGAAAACAGTGTACTCAAGTTATAGTCACTCCTGTTACAGACCATCTGCCTATAAATTTCACATCATCATTAATGGGAAGCAAGGAGCGCTATCTCTTTTCTTCCACCCACTGGCCATTTTCATATAAGTTATTTCTCTCTTTAAGTTCATGCTTTTTCCCATCTGTTTAACAACATTAGGATCTAGGAGGAGTGACATATAATGAACCATCCCTTGGTACTGGTGCCAGTGATGGCTCTGTAAAGAGCACCATACTGTTGTTAGCTGGCTAAAAACGGATTGGGATTGTTTCAAGTTTAGTTCCCCCAGAACTGAACCTGAGTTAAGATTTTGAATGCAAACTATTTATTGGGGTGGGGGGGGGGTGAGTCCCAGAAAACTCAGGAGTAGAGTGGGGATTGAGAATAGATGCATGAAAGGAAGCTAATACAGGCCCATTACCGAACAGGTTACTCCCGAAGAGAACTGTTGTTAGTTTTTCAGAGGAGTTCGGTAACATCCTGTAGAACATGTCTCAGAGTTATTACAATCAACAGGTGAGAAAGATGAATTAATTATGCCAAATCCTTTCTGAAACTGGTTGAATGCTAGACCCAGGCACATTCACTACTGGGCACTTCTGGCCTGTTTGAAAGTAGGTGATAGCACGATTCTATTAGTATGTACTAGAATGAGGAATGCTGGGGAGATGTGGGTGGGGCACTGACAGCATCTCATGCAGTGGCAATGGAGTCATAAAAACTGGCTTGTAAGTCCAAATGGATAACCTAAGTTCCTGGGTTAATAATTTTCCTTTGAGAAATTTAAGCACTGATGTTTCAGTAACAATTTCCTCTATAAGATCAAGTCTAAGACCCTAAGTTCCTAATCTTCTGGGAAACTATCAATATCTTTGATAAAGTCCTAACAAAGAAAGAAACAATTGAGATTTTAAGCTGACCATTCATTTAATCATTCATTCAACCAACATTTACTGAACACCTAATGTATACCATGGATTAATATTTCCTGGGACAGGAAATATTAACCAGTGTAACTGTTATTAAAATAATTATATTACCAACTGGATTTCACTCTACTGGGGTATCCAGATAAGTAAATCTGTAATTACAATAAATCAAAAATTACAGTAAATCCAAATTACTACAGAGTGCTATGGAAAGACACAGGTAGGGCCTTAATCCATACTGTGATCCAGTAGTAAATGAGGAGTATTAGCAGGTCTTTCTATAGAAGGCAATACTAGAGAGAGATATATAATGCAAAGGCAGGGTGAATATTTCAGTCAAAGAGAAGAGAAATTCATAGTGGCAAGAAAAAGAATTGTTAAGGAACAGAATAGAAAGGAGTGCCATATACAACTGGCATTGAGTGCTAAGTGGAGTATAAAAAAAAGAAAACAATGGAGAAGATGGTAGCAGCTAGATAATAAGTGGTTCACATATGTATGGTAAGAATGTGATTTAATCCAAAGGAAAATGTGAAGCTATTGAATGATTTTAAATGGAAGGCTGAAGTTAGAAGAGAGAAAAATTGATTTGCATAACATGATCAGATTTTTGTTTTTCGGAGAGGTAACTTTGGAATTACAGTGGCTAAATTGCTGGAGAAGGGTGGTTGTTATCCTGGGTACAGAAATATTAGTCAGTAGCCCATTAAGATAAGTCAAACAAGAAATTGGATATAAAATTCATGATTGACATTCTTTTCTGTCAGTACTCAAAAAAAGTTATGCCAATGCTCTGGCCTCCCTAGTTTCAGATCAGAAATCTGCTGTCACTTGAATTGTGTTTCTCTATAAGTAATGCATTGTTTTTCTCTGTGGGCTTTCCAGATTTATTTATTTACTCATTTATTTACTTTGTCTTTATTTTTCAGAAATTTATTTATAATGCATTTTGGCATGGATATCTTTGTGTTTATCCGATTTGGGGTTTTCTCTGGTTTTTCGACATGTTTATGTCTTTTGCCAAATTTGGGAACATTTTAGTCATTATTTCTTCAAATACTGTTTCATTCCCACTTGCTCCCTCTTTTCCCTCTGGGACTTTAATGATGTCAATGTTAGCTCTATTTTTATTGTTCCACAGGTTCCTAAGATCCTGTCTCTCACCCCTAACCCCCACCCCAAGTCTATTTCTCTCTCTGTTTTTCAAATTTGGTAAGTTCAAATGATCTGTCCTCAAGTACACTGATTCTATGCTTTGTCATCTCCACTCTAATTCTAATCTTGAGCCTATCAAATGAGGTTTTTATTTTGACTACTGTATTTTTCAGTTCTATTATTTCCACTTGTTTTTATTTTGATAACTTTTATTTTTTTGACTTACATTTTCTATTTTTTTCCATTTATTTCAAGTAATACATAATTGCTTATTGAAACATTTATGATAGCTTATTTAAAATTCTTGTCAGAAAACTCTAACATCTGATTTATCTCAATGTTGGTGTGTGCTACTTTTCTTTTTTCATTCATTTTGTGATTTCCTGGTATAATAAGTAATTTTCAATTGTATTCTGAACATTATGAGTACTATACGGCTCTGGATCTTATTTTACATTATTATTATTATTATTATTCTTGTTATTTAGCAGAAAGTTCTCCTCTATTAAGGTGTAAGCATGAGGACTAAGTAGATGGGAATGTACAAATTTCCATTGGGCCCACTGACATCACCCCAGAAAAAGTGAGGCACTGAGTCACATTGCCTTACTGCAGACAAATGGGGTAGAAGTTCAGCTCTGCCTTTGGTCTTGCTGATAATTTCCCCCCAAAAGTGGAAACACTCATACCATCTTGTTGCCTGCAAGTGGGAGTGAAGGCTCAGCTTCCTAATAGGCCCCCCGACAGCATGGGAGGGGGAAGTGAAGTGTTAGTTGTTTTTCTTCACATCACCACATTTCATTTTGCTGATGCTGGTGTGGGTAGAGGCTCAGCTCCTCACCAGACCCTACTGACACCAGATGCAGGGGAAAAGTGGAGTTCCTACTAGCTCCAACTTGTAACATCCTGTTATGGATGTCAAGTAGAGGTGGAGGCTAAGCTCCCCATTGGACCCCATGACTGTGGGAACCCAGTAGCAACTAGCTAGGTCTGCCACCACCTCCTTAAGTCCCCTTCCTGATAGGTGGAGTGAAGCCTCAGATCACCACTGGACCACACTGAAACAATCCTGGAGGGGGAACCAGAGTGCTGTCTGCTTGTAAAGGGCAGGAGAGGGCTGGTGTGGAAGATCAACTCCTTACTTGGTCCCGCCGAAATCAAAGGCACAAGGAATGGCTGCAATTACTCCTTTAGAGTTGGTGAGAGAAGTGTGTGTATTGCCAAAAGGGTTTTCTGTTGTTAGCAATCCCCTTCCTCACATTATGATTAGGAGAAACAGGTTTTGATTGGAGCTTGTTTTGTCTGTGTCTGTTGGTGGTTAAGGACTGAAGGTTCCTTTAGTACCCTGTCTGGGATATACGGGAGGCAATACGGAAACATAAGGAACTCATTATCACATCATTTCTCAAGTCCCATGGTCCTCAGTAAGTCTACCTTCTAGTTTCTTTTTCTTTTTTTCCTTTTTGTCTTTTTTACTGACCGGTAACGGGATCGCAACCCTCGGTGTTGCGCCCGCACCGCGCTCAGCCAGTGAGCGGGAACCGGTCACCACATGGGATCCGAACCCTCGGCGGGAGCGCCGCCACACTCCCAAGTGGCGCACTCTCCAGTGCGCCACCGGGCCAGCCCTACCTTCTAGTTTCTACCTTTCATTTTCTGCTATGCTCATTTGTTGAATTAAGTTCAAGGTTTTACTTGTAAATGGGAGGACCAGGTAGAAATGTGGCTATTCCATCTTGTCAGAACCAGAATTCTGAAGGTCTAGACATCAAAAGGCACTGCTGGTTGTAACCTGAAGTTTGCAGATATACTCCATACATTTTAGGAATTATTCTGCTAGATAATATGGCTTCCCAACAGGTAAGCAAGGGAATAAGGATAGAATGACACATGTGGTAATGAATTAGAGTTGGAGAAATCAGTATAAAACTCATGCTTAGCTTAATATAGATACCCATGACTACATATAGAAATATTTATAGACATGTGTACATACATGGTTAGTGAGCATACACACATATATATATCTGCTCAGTCATCTGAGAAGAACTAGAAGCAACTATTCCCTGGTAGCAATGAACACACCTAGTACCCAGGTCTTGATGCCTAATGCCATTCCCCAATAAAAAATTTGATCTTCTTGAAGAAATGGCAGATTCCAGGACTGGGACAGGAAATATTAAAGATCAGCCTAGACCATCGCGTAGTGTCAGAAATTAAGGAAGTGAT